GGGGAGTAATGAAAAAATTTTCAAATAGATAAATCGTCTCCAAAGGAGTGAACAGGAATTTTCTATAACGTAAACTAAATAACTATTCATGTTTACCGTAACTAGAACCATAACTTGGAGCTACGAAAATCAGACTGATTATGCAAATGTGACTAGTATAAATGTTGCTGGAGTAGTCCGTGTTTCAACAAGTACCTTCTTAATACACCATGTATACATAACCGTCCCATACACTAAATAATAGCATTCCAAATTTGATTTTTGAAAATCAGTTTTTCTTTCTTAGAAATTATGAAGAAAATTAAGCGCTTTAAAAGCAGAACAAAGGAATTCATGAGTGGATTTGAATCTACCCACGATGAAATACGTGCCGACGAAGAAACCTTCATTATCGTTCACCTTTTGAAGAAAAGTGATTCAAATTCTCCAATACTGGACGGCTATCTTGACCAACTGGCAATGCTCGCCTGCTGCACCAGTCCTCATGTAGTGAAAAGAGCGCTTGATGCTCTTCTCAACGAAATATTTATAAGCATTTCCAATTCCACAAGAATTCGATGTCGTAACATATTGAAAGCTGAAGAGATCCTTCGTGCGTCGTTTCTAGAGTCTATGAAGCTGGACCATTTTACAGCTAAATCTCATCGAATGACGACATACGCTTGGCTCATCACGTTAGTCCTTCTCAAGCACAGTAAAGAAGAATACATAGAAATTCTTCCAAAACTCAGAGAATTTGACAAAACGCTGGAAACTCTCCAGAGTGACAAGGACGAAAAGCTTTTCGGCGGACGAAATACTTTTCGGTACGGTGTTTATCTTGCCCGGGAAAGTATTAAACGAATTTCAAGAAAAAAGGACACGAGGGAATCCTTATATAGTAGTATCAAGAAATGCGAAAATTTTCTGAATAGCAAACTGGAGAAAAACGAAGTCATGAAGCTTGGTAAAGCGATCAGTGATGGAGGTAATTGGCTGGATCTTCACGTATGCCTGGCGTTTTTGCAAGATTTACCAAAGGTAGGTGTTTATAACGGGGTCGAATAACTTTACTTTCACAATAAGAAATAGAATTTTTATCTTTAATCAACTTTTAATTCTATTTATAATATAGCATTTGTAAATTCTGAACGCTGATTGGCTAAGGGCCGTGTTGATATAACTCCATGTCAACACGGGAAGTTTTCCGCCGCTTGTAACACGGAAATTTTTCTTATTCTTCGGGCTTTTGACATTGCTATATTATAAAACAAATATAAAACATTTTTTCCGTATTGATATATAGTTATATCAACACTCGTGGAAGTTGGGAAAACTCAAAATTGTATGAAAACACTCCGCCCTTCGGGCGTCGTGTTTCCATACAATTTCTCGTTTTCCCAATTCCACTCGTGTTGATATAACTGTATATCAACACGGAAAATGTTTTATATTT